TAATTGCTCTGGCCAGTGTTTCAAGAACTATGTTAAATAACAGTGATGAAAGAAGGCATCCCTGCCTTTTTCCAGTTTTTAGAGGGAATGCTTTCAATTTGTCTACATTTAGAATGATGTTGGCCTGGAGCTTAACAGATAGCTTTTCAATGTTGAGATATGTTCCTGTTATCCATAGTTTTTCTAGTGTTTTGAACATAAAGGGGTACTTTATTTTGTTGAATTTTTTCTGCATCTATTGAGATGATCATATGGTTCTTATCTTTAAGTCTATTGATGTAATGAACTACATTTATTGATTTCTGTATGTTGAACCAAYTTTGCATCCCTAAAATGAACTCCACTTGATCATGGTGCACTATCTTTTTGATATGTTTTTGTATTCGATTTGCCAGAATTTTATTGAGAATTTTTGCATCTATTGTCATTAGAGATATTGGTCTGAAGTTTTCTTTCATTGATGTGTCTTTGCCTGGTTTTGGAATCAGGGTGATATTGGCCTCATAGAATGAGTTTGGAAGTGCTCCCTCTTTTTCTATTCCCTGAGATAAATTGAAGAATATTGGTATTATTTCTTCTTTAAAGGTCTTGTAGAACTCAGCTGTGTATCCATCCCTCTGGTCCCAGGCTTTTCTTGGTTGGTAGGCTTCTGATGGCGTCTTCTATTTTATCACTTGAAATTGATCTGTTTAAATTGTATATATCATCCTGATTCAATTTGGGCAAATATATTGTTACTGCCATTTACCAGTGACGAGTCYTTGCTTCCCCAAATGCTAAAGTATAACACCAGAGAAGCACACCACCAGAGAAGCACACCTAGGCAAGTATAGAGTGAAAAGTAGAAGCTTTATTAAAGGACAGAAGAAAAGACTTCTCCCCAGAGGAAGAAGAGGACCCAAAAGGCGGAATCTGTGGAGGTCTTCCCTTTTCTATAGCTAAGGTCTTCTTTCAGGTTTCCCACACTCCTGTCCTTTGTTTCCTTTATCTTTAAGTGATAGAATGCAGGTGGGTAGGCTCAAAAAGTGGGAGATAGGTGGGMTGAAGGAGTAATCTGGGCAGGAAGTGCCTGGGGTGGCTTTTGATTAGCACCTCCCTGTTTGCTGGGAGCTATTTCATTAACAGTTCCTTAGGATGGGCTCCAGGCCTTGGGGACATTAATATTTCAATTTCCCCAAGTGCTGCTCTGGTTTCCTGGACTCCATTCTCAATAATGGCCTCCATTTTATTTATCTTACTAGATATTAGACCCGATTTACCTAACTACACTAATTACCTATCCTCAAATCTTGCTTCAATATTACTCTAAAATTTGTCAATGCCTTCAATATTTTCTATTTTATTGAAACACAAGTTTTCAAAATAATTTCTAATTATCTTCTATATTTCTGTAGTGTCCATGATGATATTTCCTTTTTCATCATGGAGGTTAGTAATTTGAGTTTTCTCTCTCCTTCTCTTCATTAGCATGGCTAAATGTTTATCAATTTTATTTATTTTTTCAAAGAGCCAACTTTTTGTTTTGTCAATTTTTTCAGTTGTTTCTTTTGTTTCAATTTCATTGATTTCAATTGTGATTTTGATTATTTCCTCTCTTCTACTGCTTTTGGTGTTGATTTATTCTTCTTTTTCTAGGGCTTTGAGATATAATGTTAAGTCATTTGTTGACTTTTTCTTCTTTTAGGAATGAACTCCATGCAATGAACGTTCCTCTTAGTACTGCCTTCATAGTGTCCCAGAGATTTCAGTACATTGCCCTTGTGTTCTCATTCACCTCTAAGAATCTTTTAATCTCCTCTTTGATGTCTTTTGCAACCCATTGTTCATTCAGCAGCATATTATTTAGTCTCCAGGTGTTGAAGTAACTTTCATTTTTTATTTTATCATTGATTTCTTTTTAAAAAATATATATTTAT